GGAGGGGGAGGAGGAGGTGGACCTGCCATTCCAGGAAGAGGTGGGGGAGGAGGAGGTACACCCATTTCAGGCATGGGGGGAGGGGGAGGGGGTGGAATTGAGGGTATTATTGGGGTTGTTGAGTCTTCACTGAATAATTCAGGCATTGGAGGGGGGGGAGGTGGTAATCCATTTATTTTATGCTGTACAGATGATTCTTGGGGCACACATTCGAGGGAATCAGGCGGGGGTGGGGGTGGAGGGATGATGAGAAGTTCTTTCTTTGGGATTTCTGATACACTTGCACTCACACTTGTCTCGTAACCAGTTAAACTGTTTTTATCGCGTTCTGAGGTCACTTCCGCACTTGATAAATCGTGGTGGGAGTCCTCGTGGAAGATTAGTTTCTTTCTCACGTCGGACGAAGCCACATCCGGAATCTTTGATTGCTGTTCAGGGATTCCTGTGTTGAGGCTTGTTTCATCGACTTCGTGTGGCTCTGGACGTGAGAATGATTTGTATTTCGTCTCGTCGGGGAGCTTGAGGAAGTCGCTTGTCGAGGAGAGAGAGGACACCTCAGTCTTCGATAGTTCATTGCTGGTGTGAATGGGGATTGGAGAAATGTCCATGGAACTCGCGGTGAATCTACCGCTCTCGAGTGAGATATTCTCGGTCAATGGGTCTGATGAATTCTCGGCGTCGAGCTTCGGCGAACTCGCTTTGGAATGAGCTGGGGGGATGAGGGTCTCCTTCTTCTTGCAGCGCTCCAGCTCCTCGATCTTCTTCTGGAGCTTCTCCACCTCCTCGTGCAATCTCGAGTTCTCGTTCTCGAGGGTTTGGACGTATTCCCCGCTGTGTGAGTCGCCATTCTTCTGGGGTGGATGGGAGTGAGTGGCCCAGGAGTAAATGTGGTCTGCCTGGAAAATAAATCGAGCAATTGGCTTTAGAGGGGCATTTGGTGGGGGATGCTTGAGGCTCGTCTTGCTCACCAATCCTTCGTTCTTCAGGATTTTTGAATCGGGGGAAAAGGCTTGGAGGAGGGACGAACCGTAAGACCCCATAGGAATCGCATATTGAAATGGGGAGGCGGATTTGACTGAATACAGTCGATGGAGATTGTTTTTGGCTTTTGAAAGGTTGGGTTGCCATAGTTTCTTTGCAGAAATTGACAGTTTAATGGTTAAAGAAATGCTCTGTTTTGAGCTCCATGTTTTTGAGGTCGACCAGCATCTAGATTTTATGGGCCGTTATCCCTTTTAATTGGGACGTTTCGTTTATTAATAAAAAATAATTCTTTTTTATTCAATTTCAATTATATTTCCGGAACTCTCGTCATTGAAAAATCGCATATTCTAATCATTCATGTTCATGTTTGCATAATTTGACGAAAAAATTGATGGGAAATGTAAATTGTAGTTCAATTATTCAATGAATTACCCGGAATTGAAAAAAAAATTGAGGTAGTTAATAGAAAATTTTAAAAAATAGGGAAATTTCCGGGTTTTTTCTGCTTGGGACTGTCAAAATTCACTTGAATTCCATCTAAAACCTGATATTTCGGAAAAATTGATTATTGAAAAAACAAGTACTTACAACGAACCCTTTATCTCCCTTCGGTGATTTTTTCTCTGGAGATGTTAGCACTCCAATTTTCATCAGCTCATTGCACAGAGCGACAACAACTTTGTTGAGATCTCCATCTGGCAGCTCGGAGCGTACGTGATCGGGTATGCTAGTTGCCAGGAGATCCACAAGATGTTTTCCTGTAACAAAAAAATGCAAACAACCTTGAGAATCCGCTCACATTTATTAATAGATTTATTTTAAAATCGTGAAGTGTCTGGGATTTTCAACGAGTCCGAAGAGGTTCATATTTCGTTAACTGATGACTTCATGAATATTTGAGTACAGTATTCCGGGGAAATAGATCGCGCAATTTCAAACATCTGAAGGAACTGTATTCATATTTTAAAATCTCCCTTTTTATATGAAAAAATCACGGAAATATTATGTGGAATTTCATGTTGACTATTAGTTGTTGTTGAGAATTTTTCTATTTAAAATTAGAGATGATAAGACTTTTCCTCGTTTCGATTAATTTTCATGGAATAATTGAATCCATATTATTATACATAAAATTATAGATTATAAATTTTCAATTAAAATTGCATTTGAATTTTCAATGTTGTGTATTTTCATTCAATTTTTCCAAACTTTCATTTCTACTCAGCAAAACTTGTAATGAAATAATTAATAGAATTGAATAATTTCCAATGAATCGACAATTCAAGTTTATTTTCCCCAGAATTTTCCTCATTTCTATTAATTTTTATGG